CCTAATTGCAGAAATGGCACAGTTTGAAGATCAAACTGAACGATTTACACAGGGGATTCAAAACTATACTAAAACCAACCCCAGATCAAGAAATTTAAACACATAACAACAAATATCACATCCCTAACATACCCAGATGCATAAAATTAATTTTACACCAAAAAAAAAACTTAAATATATACCTTTTAAGAACAGACTGGGTATCAACAGTTTTTGCAGTCGGCAAAGTCTGTTTAGGAGAAGGCATAACTTGAGCAGTTGCTTGAGTATTGCTGTTGTTTCCACTGTTCATTGTAGCCATGTGAATTTTTAATTCTTTCTAATTTCAAGTTTTTTTTTTTTTTTTTTTTTTTTTTTTTTTTTTTTTTAAAAANTTTTTTTTTTTTTTTTTTTTTTTTTTTGTAGAACAGAAAAAGGAGACGTTTTTCTTTCTTTCTTCTTCTTCTTGAGAATTTTTGAGAAACTGAAGGGGAAGAAGAAGAGAGAAGGGTTGAGATAGATTTTGATTGAGAAGATGAAGGGATTTTGTGAAGAATATATATAGAGATTTTGGAAAATAGAGTTTTTTGAACGTTAGGGTGGGCGGCGCAAAAAATGAGTGTTTTTATTCTAACGGCTAGTTTTATAACCTAATTCCTTTATTAGGAGAAAAAAGGAATAAATTTATAATGTTTATTCACTTAATCTAGTTTGCCTAAAATGCAAATTTGAAATCAAAATTGTCTAGGTTTTAAAAAATTAGTATGGCATAATCTCTCATTTCTGAAATTGTATTGCAGAGTCTTGACAATTTAAAGCAGGTTGAGATCAATTATATAAATTATTATCGAGTTTTATGCTTAAGGTCGGATATATTAATCTTTATTGTTCATGCCGCTTTAGTTAAACCCCTTTTGATGCAAGACTATAAAGATGATTTCAGTAGAATTTGAAATTCTCTACATTTTCTATTGGCATATAATATTTAGCAAAATTAAAGGCTCATGAAAAGCATTAGATTCAAAGTAAATATATTAGCATGACTAAATTCACGTGTCCAGGTGAATACGTCCCGACTTATTTTGTATTGTACGGATTCATCATAAATTAACTAGTTTTACGTTGGCTATCAACCTATCACAACTCTCGTACTTTATTCTAGACTTGAGACCAACAATGTGAGCAAACTCACACCGTCATACAAACCTAGTTAGTTTTTTGGCCAAATACATATACAACCCATTCAACTTGGCACCATTTTTCATTTTGGCATTTTGTCTCTGCCTTATTCCATTTTGGTCATTCAACTCTATTTTATATGTTCCATTTTGGCCCTCCAACTCTATTTCTTATGTTCCACTTTAACACAAAAGCTAAAATCAGTGCAAAAAATATAGCACGTGTGTATACACAAATCTGAGGTGTAATAAATATCCAATTAAATGTTGTCACCTGGTTTTTTCATCCATATCAAACGGGTCAATACTAAAATACCTTAACCTGACCATATTTTCTATAGGTTTATTTCATCTAAACGGGTCAGGTATAAAATCGGCAGATGAAAGGTTTGGAACTTAGAGAATGAAGATGGGGCAACAGTGGATGAAAAAATACGGTCGGGTTCGGGTATTTTAGTATTGACCCAGTTGACATGGATGAAAATATTAGGTGACAACATTTAATTGGATATTTATTACACCTCATATTTGTGTATACACGTGCACTATATTTTTTGCACTGATTTCAACTTTTGTGTTAAAGTGGAACATAAGAAATAGAGTTGGATGGTCAAAATGGAACATATAAAATAGAGTTAAAGAGCCAAAATGGAACAAGACAGAGATAGAGTGCCAAAATGAAAAATAGTGCCAAATTGAGTAGGTTGTATATGTATTTGATATATTGGGAACATTGTATAAATTTTTCACATAAAACTTTTACATAGATTCATATATTGGGAACATTGTATAAATTTTTCTTATCAGTGAAAATATGTCGATTTGCTCCTACAAGGTTCAAAATTGTAAGTTTAAGACATACTTTGATGTTGTATCTAGTTATGACTGAATAAATCAATAAACTCGGAACCAAAAAAATAAAAAAATCAATAAACTCAAATAATTATCTCAAATCTCATACATTACATTTACCATGGGTAGAAAGTGACTAGTATAGGTTTAGACTAACGTTATCGATACTTATGATTAGTATATATAACTTAAACCAATTTCAAGAATTTAAGAACTTCCAATTTAGATAACTTTAATTAAACCAAATATTTTCTAATTGTTCCTTTTTGGAGCTAATTTTGCCAAAAATCCAATTTCAAGAGACATGCAAATTTAGAACCAAATATGTAATTGAGTATGATTCAAAACGTAAAGTTGTTGAAGGGAATGACATGATCAAGTTTTGGCATGATTTATTGATCCCAGTACCAAATACCACTTAGTTTTAAGGTTATTCTCTACTTTTAATCAATGCCTTAATTGCCAATAAGTTACTAATTTAATTCACATTAGTACCCTGGAATCAAGTTTTAGTATAATACAAGTTGTTTGTAATGGAAAACAATAGAAGGACTGAGTAGCTATATTTGGGATAGTTGAAAGGGGTTAACTACTGCACAAAGATAATTGGAGGTGGAGAGTTGACACAAATAAATAGTTGAAAGACCTCTTTGACACTTTTCCTTTAAAACAAGGGCGGAGCTAGGAATGGCAATAAGGTGGGGTAGGATGCGGGGCGGGTTGGAGCTTAACCGGCAAAATTTCAACCCCTTCCGCCTTGCATAGCAGTTTTTTCTATTTTCAATCCACTCCGCCCTTAAAAGAAAAAAAAATTGCTAAAAAATACAAGTTTAATATTTCACTTTTTTTTAGTTTCTTAAATCCCTCGTATGGATTAAATAATTGCAGAGTCATATTCTCCAGCCACACTATATTTTTTGCTTGCCTTATTTTGTACCGTCTATAGTGTTTTCATGGAATAATCCGCAACGAAACCCGCCCTGCCCCGCATTAGTCTTTGAAAAAATAGTTTTAATCCGCTCCGCTGCCACTGCCTCATTGTCATCCCTAGGCGAACCTAGAATATAGCTTAATGGTTTTATCGAACTTTGTTCCAATATTTAAATTGTACAAATTACTAATTTAGAATACAATAACTTCAAAGAACTACTATTTTAAACCCATAATTTTTAAATTCTAACTTCACATCCGCTAAAATATAACCCCTGTTGATACATGTATAACTGCATAGGAAGTGTAAATTATAGTAGCAATTGTATTGAAGTTTAATTATTAGCTAAAGAATAGTATTATTCATTTCAAGGAAAAAAATTGTTTCTTGCAACAATTTAGAGCACGTAATATTTTATGCATCAAGTATCGATGAAAATAAAGTATTCACAGTATCATATAATAACATATTAATTCTAAGTGATAATACATAATTGATAATACACTATTGATGCAATAAATATTAATAGATCTTTTTGCCTTTAAACATTCGGTATGTGAAAACTTAATGGCTCGATTTATTCAAATTAATGTTGCAAGAGTATTACTTTCACTTTTACTTCCCAATTTATATGATACTTTTTGCTTCCGAAATTCAAACTATATAGAGCTTGTTTGGACATAAGAATTTTTTCATTTTTTTTCCCGAATTTTTTCACTTTTTCCGAAATTCATGTTTGGCCATAATTTTTTTTTCCACTTGAAGATGAATTTTGGATTTTTTCGAAAATTTGAAAAACTTCAAAAAACTATTTTTCAAAATTTTTACCCAGATCACTCACAAAAATTCAAAAATAACCCAAAATCATATTCATGTCCAACACAACTCTAATTTTTAAATACCATTTTCACTTGAAAAAAATTTCACCTTTTTTTTTTTAAAATTTTACAATTCTTATGTCCAAACTCCAAACGCCCACATAGTAATTTCTTATCAATATTTTTTTTAATTATATTGACACGAGAATAATTGTAATTTATAATAGACTTTTTGTATAGTTTTTGAATATTCAAATTTAAAATTTTAAAATGTTGAATTATTAGTTCAAATATTAATTTAACTTAATTTCAGAGATGAAAAATATCACATAAATTGAGACACATTATATGTTGTCATCATTTGCTTCATTTATCCTTTTTCATTTTTTTACCCACAATTTTCTTTTTTCACCAACTTTCCAAATACATGCTTTAACCCCCAATTATTTTTTACATAATTGTCCACTTTCTGTCATTTTTTTCCTTTTCCTCAAAAAAACCTCTGCAAGATTTCCTATTTTGCATCTCTGAGTCTCTGACCAGACCCCACCCACTCCCCCTCATCACTCCTCCC